AAGGAAGGAAGGAAGGAAGGAAGGAAGGAAGGAAGGAAGGAAGGAAGAACTGTCTGGAGATGGGTAGCATGTTTCATCATGAGCCCTTTGGAATTGTACATATATACCACTACTTATTCAGCCACTACCCAATTGAAGGGCACCCCACAGTTTCCAATTCTTTGCTACCACAAAAAGAACTGTTATAAATATTTCATACATATGGATCCTTCTCTTTCTTTAATCTCTTTGGAGTATAATACAGTGATATTCATAAAAACATCCAAACTTTTAAAAAACAATATTTTATTTTTTCCCCAACTACATGTAAAAACAATTTTTAACATTAAAAAAAAAAAGTTTTGACTTCCAAGTTCAGTTTCTCCCTCCCATTACCCCTCCCTGAGATGGTAAGCAATGTGATATAGGTTATACATGTGCAATCATGTTAAACATATTTCCATATTAGTCATTTTGTGGAAGAAAACTCAAACCAAAAAAAAAAAGAAAAGAGAAAGAAAGAAGGGATGAATGAAAGTGAAAATAGCATGCTTTGATCTGTATTCAGATGCCATCAGTTCCTTCTCTGGAAGCAGATTGTATTTTCCAACATAAGTCCTTTGGAATTGTCTTGGATCATTGTATTGCTGAGAATAGCTAAGTTATTCACAGTTGTTCATCATACAATATTGCAGTTACTGTATAAAATGTTCTCCTGGTTCTGCTCACTTCACTCTGCATCAGTTCATGTAAGTCTTTCTGAAATCATCCTGCACGTCATTTCTTATAGCACAACAGTATTCCATCATAATAATATACCAAAACTTGTTTGGCCATTCCTCAATTGATGGGCATCCCCTCAATTTCCAATTCTTTGCCACCACAAAAAGAGCTACTACAAATATTTTTGTATAAATAGGTCCTCCCCCTGCCCTTTTTAAAAATCTCTTGGGTGTACAGACCTAGGATGGTGTTGCTGGGTCAAAGTGTATACTTAATTTTGTAGTTCTTTGGGCATAGTTCCAAATTGCTTTCTACAATGGTTGGATCAGTTCAAACTCCACCAACTGTGTATTAGCATCCCAATTTCCCACATCTTCTCCAACATTTATCATTTTCTTTTTTCTATCATATTAGCCAATCTGATAGGTGTGAGAGTGTCTCAGAATTGTTTTAACTTGCATTTCTCTAATCAATAGTGATTTCAAATATTTTTTATCTGACTATAGATAGCTTTGATTTTTCGGTCTGAAAACTGCCTGTCCATATCCTTTGGCCATTAATCAACTGGGGAATGACATATTCTTATACATTTGACTCCATTTTCTATATATTTGAGAAATGAGGCCTTTATCAGAGATACTTGCTGTAAAATTTTTTCTCAATTTTTTACTTTCCTTCTAATTTTGGTTGCACTGGTTTTGTTTGTGCAAAATTTAAGTTTTTAATTTAATATAATCAAAACAATCCATTTTACATTTCATAATGTTTTCTACCTCTTATTTGATTCTAAATTCTTTCCTTATTGAAATATCCAAGCTCACTAAGGAAAATAAGAAGTGAGAAAGAAACCAATTTTCTCAGTATTGTAATTCATATTCCAACTGCCTGGAACATAGTAGGCCCTTAACAAATTCTTGTTAATTTATTAAACTGGTGCTATCACAGTGTGTTTATGCATCATAAAGATATAGAACTTGGGTGATATGTCAACGGGAATTCAATGAAAACAACTTTGTTAAAGGGTCCAGTCAGTAAGATACCATAAGAATTACTTCATCAAGCATGGCCTCTTTAATTAAAGGAACCAGGGAATGTAATACTCATGACCAATTCAAATTGTTTTTTTCTCAATGCATTTAAGTAGCACAGAGAATAATCTGCCAGAATTGGTCACCAACAAGAAAAAGAAATGAATTCTACAAGTCTTGTAGACATTATCTCAAATGAAATCCAAATTAGGTATATATAGTTTTTGGGTTTTTTTTTTGTTTTTTTTTAAATTACTGCATTTGGAGCTTGGTCTAGTTCCAAGTATGTGTAAAGAGGGGCTCAGGGTTGGATAATAGGCTTGATTGCCTCTGTAGTTGGGCTACTACAATGTTGAATACACTGCTGCATGCTTCAGGGGAGTTGGGTAGAGCAACCAAATATCCAGAGACTATTTCCTGATCTTGGGATTATACACAAATCTGAAATACCCCACTTCAAGAAATGCTTTGTGGTTCATGAGAAGGTGGGTGTTTAGAAAAGGCACCCATTTTGAATAAAAACCAAATCATACTCTTGGAGCTACCAGCTCCCTTCAGGTCACATCATTAATCATTTGTGATGTAAGAACAGAAACCACAGCTCATTATTTGGCGGTCCACCAGGTTATTAAAGCAGCTTTCAGTGTTAGGCTGCAAAACCTGATAGGTTCCTGGTTTTAGTCGAAGGGAGGGCCTAGTATTCAGCTTTAGAAGACAACAACCCCTCCCAATATAACAAATAAGAAGTCAAATGAAAACACACAAGGTAACAACCAATTATACCCTTACGCTCATCTCCTACCCTTCACTGGACTAGTCATTTCCTCCGGAGATTATCTCCTTCCTGATTTGGCCAGCCAAATCAGATAAGCCAGCCACTGGATTTGGGTGTGTTCATTTAAAAATTTTTGTTTGTTGTTGTTGTTTTTTAAGCTCTTTAACCTGGTTTGGAAATTAAATAAAGGTCATTTGAGGTGAAAAGTGTAGGAGTTCAGTTTCGGAGTGGTAATACTTTTTTTTTACTTCTTGCTGCAGGTTAAAATATCACGAGCACATACAGATCCGTATTAGCATTTTATTTTGTAAACCAGAAGCTTCAGGTTTGACGCATCCCCATCCCTTCTATTATTCACAACTTCAGTCATCACTCCTTGACCTCTCCTGTAGTAGGTAGCGTCTTACGGAAACCATGAGTTTGGGTGAGACCTGAATCTTTTTTAAACTCGATCTTGGCACAGAAAAATATGCTTGCTCTTAGCACTCGAAGAGCTCATTAACATTCACGTTGGGTTATTTCGTCTTGGGGTTTATAAATAAGGTGAGTGGGAATTACCTCAACTCTATCACAGTGCCAGGAAGAGGAAGGAGGGCAAGCAGAGCTAGAGGGCTGTCGGACTGGGCTAGTGTTGGCAATGCTTTGTCATTCGCGGGTGTTGCCTTCCACCAGCAGGCGAGTGGGAGGCTGCTCGGGACGCCGCCTGTGTTAGCTCCGGTGGAAGGAGCCCCGAGAGCTTCCTGGTTGTTGCCTTCTCCTCAACGTACTTGGGCTGCCGGTCGCCGCCAGAGCTGGCCCTGTAAGGGGGCTACGCAGGGAGAGGTGACGGATGGCGGACATCGATACCCCAAACGGGCGGGCTCTCACCGAGTTTGTAAGTTTAGAGCTTCTCCCACAACTCCTTGTTCCCATTCTCCCCTCGTCCTTCTCCCTCCCTCTTCTTAGGAATTCAGATTCCTCGGGATTGAAGATAGCAATGCTGCACTAGCTCCTGAGTAAAGCAAAGGGGTTATGCAGCCGGGACCTAGGCACTGACTGTTTGTACATAGTGAAATTATCTGCACTCGATTTTCTCGAAAATCCTACCCAAATGTGCACGCTAATGCCTTAGCTGGGTTTACTGCCGTTCTTTTCTTCGGTTTAATTCAATACCTATGCACATATGCGTGCAGTAGGTGATGAGACACTGCTTCTTGGAAAATTTTGCCTCTCTCAGCCAGGCATCTGATTCCGCGGAAGGCTTTCCCCCCGCAAGGCGAAAGGCCTATCTTTTATATTGACATGCAAAGTATAACAGCAATATCCCAGTTCAGAAGATTGGTATCTGGAAGCATGGAGCTAAAGGGTGGGTGAAGGGAGATACGACCCGAGGCTCTTAAATGAAAGGAAAATCATTATCATAGAACTTTTGAGGCCAAAGGAATGAGATGATCGGTTTGACTTAACTCTTTGTTATTTACATTTAAGGACTGAATCCCAGAGAACTGACTTCTCCCTCACCCAAAGATGTATCCTTCTAGTTAAAAGCAGCGCTGAGATTAGAAGCTAACTCTTCTGATCCCAAATCACTATACCACAGTTTTCCACGTTCTAGCCATTACTCCCCCTCCCCGGATTCTGCCCTACCTCATTATTGGCATTTGGGACCTTTTGTTGCCAGCCTCTCATAGCAGCAGATTGTCAGAGAAAGCTTGGGTAAAGACTGTCTGAAAAGTAAGAGGTCGCATAACTTTCTCTTGAAAGTGAGTTAATGATCTTACTACTGGGGGAGGAAGGGTGTTAAACATCCCATTCAATCCAATGATTTAGCATTTTCTCCCTAGACTGGCAACCAGATGAAAGAATCTATTATTTGAAGGGCTCTGTGAGACTGTTTCAGACAAGAGATGGATTGGCTTTGCCAACTATCCCCTCTCTCTTCCTTAAGTGACAACTAAGATTTAGTTTCTAATTAAATGCAATGCTAAATTACAGCAGCAGTTGGACATTGTAACATAGAATTTAAAAGTTTGGATATTTCATCTGCCTTCTAGATGGATTACCTACTGGGTCTTTATAGTATATAGGGCAGATTGTAAAATTCAATTACAAAAAATAAGTGAACGTTACCCCCATCCCCAAAGTGATGTATTATCTGCTGTTTTAACTGATTCAAGTCTGAAACACATTTTATTGTAGAGTTGTTAACTGTGTCCTCCTCGTACATATTATAAACCAAATTCTATTTTGTATATAAAGATGAGACAAATGCTCTATTATTGACCATTTTCATGAATCTTACAACCTGGCAGTAAGAAATAAAAAGGACAAGATGTTAAATAATAATTCACTTTAACAGTTTTGCATATAACTTTTAGAGCTAGAGATGTTTCTGGTGCTTGGAGAATGAACATTTAGAAATCTATTTGTTAGTTAAGTTTAACTTTTAGGCAACATCTGTGTTTTGTTTTGAAAAGTAAACATTACTGTCGAAGGAGGTAGCATGATGTACTAGCAAGAGCACTGTATTAGAAATAAAAATTGGCCCTAGCGCTGCCAGAGATTGTATGACCTTGGGCATGTTGTTTGACCTATCTAGGCCTCATGCTCTTCATCTATAAAATTGAGAGGTAAACTATACAAAATTTAAGATACTTTACATTTTTTAACTTGTATGAATTTTTTCTAGGGCAATTCTTTTTAGCCTTCAAACAGGAACTAACTGGCTCCCTGGTCAGATCATTACTGTGGTCCTAAGAGATACAGAAAGCATAAATAATCACAAGTCTATATAAACAAATCTTAAAACATGGTTGGTAATTCCAAGAATAGTATCAGCAAATGGGAGATCAGTATGACATGCACTTATTGTCATAATCACATGTATAAATTTCTTAGCTGGGAAATTCTCTATCAACAACTCTTAACATTACATTATTATCTAATGTCTTTATGAATATTTAGGCTAGACAAAGGACTGCAGCACAAATATTACATGTTACCTGTTCACAGAAGTTAACAAGCCTCTTAAGACTTGGCTTTTATCTTTGAAACAAGATAGCTGGCACTATAAATTTTAATGTTATAAGCACTTTAAGTAGCAGTGACTAGGTGTAGGTAGTGTGGTCTAAGAGATAAAATCAAATTTGGGAATCAGGGACAAGATGTTCTCCATTAGCTATTGAAAAACCTCACCAACTACTGTACCAACTGTTATTGTCCCACTGTCATAAAATAGGTGACATCCAGTTTAAAAGGGCAAATATTGTTTTATAAAGTCTTTTAAAACATTTAAATGGACCTCACCAACATGGTCATTCCTTCTGAGTAAAGAGATCATAGCCCATCCAAGCTTACCCATCCTATGTAACTCTTGTCCATGTCCTCCCAGTTTGCCAAAGAAGACCCATCAAAAATGCTTGGGGGGTACTTCTTGGATTTCTCCTGACATCACATAGGATATTACTGAAACACCAGTTATCTCTCCTCCCTCTTGCCATGTGATTAGCTTTTTTTTTTTTCAAAGATACATTTCTTTGAAAGCATTATTTACTCCAGTTCTTTTTAGTTCCTTGTAACATATTGCAGCCTGCTCATAGGCACTTTGTGCCTCTCCACTGCTGGGAAATTTTTAATTCTTTATTTGCCATACTAATCCGTTACTAAGTCATACAACAACATGGGTGGACTATTTATATAAAAATGAAGGGGTTTTATTTCTGGAATTAGAGTCATTAAACAAGTTTTACAATTTCCCAAGGGCAATCTCACCCCAAAATTCAGAAATGTATATTAAATGTTATATTCAATGATGCATTTTTGTTCTAGGCAGAAGATTTATTACAGGAACTTCAGGTACACTTTCAAGCTCTGACTGAGACAATAACTCTCAAAAATATCCTTTTGTATTTTAAAAGAATGTACAGCGTTGCTCTGAAATTGCATAGTGAATAAGAAATGTCTTCATGATCAACATTCCTGGCCATTTCTTTTCATATAACTTTTCTAGTATGCATATTTTTTAATGCAAAGTACAAATTTGCATTTTGGTGGTACATCTGGAGATGTATTAATATTCATCTGTAGGATGGAAGATTATTTCATATTTTATCAAGAGGTGGAAAGAGAATTGGTATGTATTTTTCAAGAATAAAATAAAAATTCATTTATAGTCCTCAATACGTCAAAGATATGTGATTCTGTTATTGTGGAAACTCCTTTTACCAGCTGCCTGAGACTTAGGGATGTTAAATGATTTGCCCATATTTACAGAGCTAGCAAGGGTCAGAGGAGTGATTTGATTTCAGAACTTCCTAGCTCTAGCTTCTACTCTATACACTATGCCAAGTTAACTCTGAGTAGCCATTGTGTGTGGTGCATTGTAAAGAATGCTGGATTTGGAGTCAGAGGCCCTGAGATGAAATCTGGCAAGGCCTTGAAGGGGCTGGTCTATAAAGACCTTTAAGGTCCTTTGCTCTATAAGCCTATGATCTCATGTTTATAAATATTATAGAAGGAAATCACTAGCTCTATATGATATGAATCCCATTATTTACACTAACAAGCATCAAACATTTTCAGCAATGCAATTTTTTTTTTACTCCAACTCTTCCGACTTGTGGCTTTGACTTAGAAATAGTCAAGCACAACAGGTTGTTTCCAGTTTGTATAAAACCAGAAGAAAAACAACCGATTTGCTGAAAATAAATTTTATGTCACTTCAAAAACCAAATTCCTGAATATTTGTGTGCAAAACATATATGTACAATAATTTCTCACTAACTTACACTCCAAATTTGGGAATTAGTTCCCTGGGGGAAAAAACACTGATCCTAAGGCACAATGAAATTAACTTAAATATCTTAAAATGTGCAGGTGTAAAAAAGAGGTTGTCCCACACAACTGGGCAAGACAATTTAGTTAAAAAGATTAGGTCCTCAAAATGTTTAAATGTTTAGTCACATATTAAAATACATCACAGTTAATTCCTATTTCCTTGGATATTACTCCTGATTCTATTAAATTAAATTAAATCCATTGGATTTCGACTTTTTAATATAGTAATGGCTATGCTCATGCTCTAGTTATTTGGCAATATATCAGTCAAGGAAAAATTATATGAAGGGATTTTTTTCCTTTCCACAGATTAGACAGTGGAAGTAAATTAATTTGCTATGATTTCTCTTTGTCCTCTTAATTTGCTTTAAATCTTTATAATTTAATCAAATTATCAGGATTTGTTATAAGTGCTAATAAAAAAAAAAGGGTCTTTGAAGAGGGTTTTTTGGCCAACAGTTCAAAAGTGACATTACATATGCAAACTAAAGGACTATTATAAAGTATCTAATGGAGAAGTGAATACACTAATGAAATCAATCTGCACTATACAGTTCTCTTTAACTTTGTACTGGAAGAAATGGGGAATCGGATTGATGACTTACAGAACAACGTAACTGATCTCATGGTAGAAGCAGGGATCCAAAATACAAACAAAGAACAAATGGTAAGGACCATTAATTTTTTTTTGTTTGATGTTTTTAAAGGCCATTATTTGTTTTCTTCTTTAAAAACTGACAACACACTTGTTTTTACAGCCTGAGATACTATACAACCTGCATACTAAAATAAAAATCTTGAAATCTACAATTTTTTCAAGTTATAAAGCTATATGCAAATTTCCTGTGCTTTCTGATTTATCTTTATGGGTATCAATTTTAAGAACTTGAGAACTTGAATGCTTATTTTTTTCTCCTTAAATAGGCGTAAGTTAATGTTTTCACACTTAACCTTCAGAGAAATCACTTTGGAAAATGTATTTAGGAAAATGGCTAGTTTTTGAGAGAATACATTCATGTAACCTTCAAGAAAAGCTTTATAAATTATTAGGTCCATAATACAGTCTCTGATGTATCTTAAGAGTTTCTGTTGTATGTGAATGCACCAGTTTAGCTTTTTCTTCTACAGATTTAAAGACCACCCTATTAGTGAAAATTGGCATTCTTAGTCTGAAGAATTTAGTAGCTTATGGCATTATATTAATATGCTTTGAAAATAAAATATATAGGGGCAGCTAGGTGGCTCAGTGGATAGAGCATCGGCCCTGAAGTCTGGAGGATCTGAGTTCAAATCCAGCCTCAGACCAAATATTTGACACTTACTAGCTGTGTGACCCTAGGCAAGTCACTTAACCCCAATTGCCTAAAAAAAATACATACATACATACACATATATATACACACACACATACACACACACACACACATATATATACTTAGAAACAGGCATGTTTCATTTAAAATAATTATGCATATTTGCTACTGGCTTGGCTTGTGATATTTGGTGGCAGCTGTCCTAATTCAACTAACAAAAATTTTCATGAATAATAATGAATTCAAGAGGGTTCATTTTTCAATGCCTGATTGAATTAGCTTTTTTATGAAATAACTAGATTATAATCATATACTAGTATTACAAAATCAGGTAGAGAGATTAGCCCTAGTAAGGGAAAGAGTTTCAGAGGGAAAAAGATGCTGAAAAGTTTTGAAGGAACTGAGAAGTTCAAACTCGTCAGTTAAGTAGGAAGTCACTTGCTGCAAAAGTATAGAGCTTTAGTTTGGGCTTGAGACACAAGGAAGAAGGCTGAAACAGGTGCTTTTGAAAATTAGATAGGCAGCAAGAGTTGGATCAAGAGGCAGAAGAAATCGAGGGCCCAGTTACAGTTAGGTACCATAAATCTGTAATGGGTTAAAATCAGTGTTTCTGTCAATGGCAGCCAGGAGCAAAGCATGCCCCAAAGTGGCAAAACTGGACAGCTGGGCTGAACCTCAAAGCAGAAGGACTAAGCTATTTAGGAATGCTAGGTCAATGAGAAAAGGCATTCTAAGGTAGTGGCTAGTGAAGCATTAAAGTGGCAGACCATGGGCTCAAGGCTGGATATGATGGTAAGAGTGTAGAAGAATAAGCATAAGTCAAAGGACTGGAGGTAACAATAAGGGAAAAATGTAGAGTTAGTGTGAATCAGAGTAGGTAAGGTAGGAGATTTAAGAAGTGTTGCTCAGAGACTAGACATTTTCAAACTTCTGGTTCTTGGAGGTGATATAATTCCAAGAGATACTAAGTCTAAGATGTGACTGAAGTACAATGCAGGAGGTTGTTGCAAATGAAGAAACTGAGGAATTATGTTCAGGTTATTCAACAGGTCATTAACATGAACACTGAAGTCTCAAAGGATCACACTAAGGAAAAAGGACAGAAAAGATAACCATGAGCTAGATGCTAAAGTCATTAAAAAAAGTTGGGAGAGTTATCAGGAGGTCAATAAATAACAGCAACAAAGATGGGGCAAGAATGGTATAAACTGATTTCATATAGCATTTCTTCATTCTCATTACTCCAAATCCATTGTATATGAGGGAGTGGATAATGAGCTGGTCTCTGAACCAGGTAGACATGGATTGGAATTCCAATTCCGATCCACACGGGCTGTGTGATCCTCAACAAGTTACCTAGCCTCTTTTAGGACTCTGGGCTGCTAAGACTACAAGGAGCAGATAAGGTGCAGACCTACATTGGCAAAGGGAGTTTCCTCATCTGGGACTTTACTATACCATAGATACATAGGTTCAGTCCCTATCCCTATTACAGTTATCTATGTATATGACTTATTCCCCTTAACTAAATTGTGTACTTCCTCCAGCATCAAGCACAGTAGCTTAATATTTGTTGCAGTGAATTGAACTTAATTATATAGTTACCTGGAAATTAAATTTTAAGATGTTTAGTTTTAACTGTGCATGAAGAAATATAAATAACACTATTTCAACTTTTCCCAAACAGACTTGAATTACTGTAATGTTAAAAGATGCAAAGTGCATTCTTTATGGATAAAGATTCTGCTGCACAGAAGCAACTGTTCCTGCAAGAGAAATCTTGTCAAAACAGTTTGAAAATTTAATCATATGATATGATAAATAATATTACTATTTTAAATGTATGTTTGTTTCAGTGACTAATTAGATTTGTTTGTAGAAATTCAGTTCTTAAATTACTTTTAAGACTGATAAGAATGTTTATAAAAATGTCTTTCAGGGAGCACTTTTATCAATTCATAAATATTTTCATCAAAGATGATAATAGCTAAATTCACATCAAAGATGATAATAGCTGAAATAATGCTTAAAAATGTGCAAATGCTTTTGATATGTATGATCGCATTTGTTCCTCATCACAATCCTTCGAGGGAGGTACTGCAGGTATAATTATACCTATTTTACAAATGAGGAAACTGAAGGAAAACTCTAAGCCATTATTACATATGGACCCTTGGCCTTCAGAAAAGAAGTCATTATCCTTAAATGAGATACCCAGTCAGTCTCTTAAAAATGGATGTTCATTTTCTATTGTATGGTATAACAATCTTTACCTTTGGTTTAATACTCATGATAGTTCAGTGCTAATCTTCTGGGGGGGTGGGGGGAGAAATCTTGAAGAATCTGAGTCATAATTTACCAATTTACCATGGCTAAAATGCCCAAAAGCTTCAAAGAATCAACTGAACAAGTGAAATAGCACTTAATGGTCTATCTACTGATTCTGAAACATACTAATACATTGTTCATCTTAGACTATCAAAAATACAATGGAGTCTTTTAAAAAGAAACTGCCAAATCAGGCCAATCTCCTATTATAGGCTGACATCCTACATCTCTTCATTCATTCATCTAAACTCAACACACCCATTTTTATGGGGAATCCAGTAGGGTAATTATCTGAAACAATTATACAATGGTACCTCCTTTTACTAATTCTGTCTGACTTTTCTGTAGTAACTGTTTTCTCTAGTACCCTGTTATAACAAAGATTATAATATCCTCTTATAAGCATGACAACATACATAATGCATAAGGTTTAAAAGTTATTTAAGCACCCTAGAAATTCTTATCACCAGATTCCCTTTATTTAAGTAGTAAACTGCTATAGCTGAACACAAGTTTTAAGTATGAAATAGTTTATAGCACACCCAAATAGAATATATACATTTCCACATCTAATAATATTCATACATTTGAATAAAAGCATCTTAATTTTTCCAAATGTGTTCAAAGAATTTGGATGTAAAAAATTCTGGTCCTATTATAGAAATACGTGGGGAAATTGTTGGAAACATCTAGAAACAAACATCTGTGAAGTCAGTTTCTGAAATTATGAAATGAAAAAGTACCCCTAGACTGTCTTGAAAACTACTTCATTTACATAGTAAACACCATCTAAAATTTCAAAGAAATTTGCCACCAGTATCACTGATAATATCTCTTCATAAGTAGGAGTGAGAACTGATGCTCCCCTCCCCCTTTTCAAATAAGGTTTATGAAATGATGTAACTATTAACAGAACTGGCCAAGAGAAATACAGTTCCTGAATTAAAAAAGGCTAGTTTGATGTCCTCTACTTTAAATCCTTAATAGGTTATTCCAAAAGATAAAAATTAACTTAGCACACACAAAGTGGGTATGTTTCTGCTAATTTTGGATAACTTCAGTTAAATGTGAAAAAGCCACACATAAATTTCAAAGATCAGATTTTTTTTTAAATGTTAACAGTGCAGGGAAAATATTATAAATTGTATTAAGTACTACATTGTTGTTTCTCAGTACTTAGTGTTGCTTTATAACTTTTTAATGTTTATAACAATGCCTATTTTCTTTGTATTTACTTTATAAGAAATAAAATTAAGTCTTCTTACACACGTCAGCAATCATTATTATCAAAGTTTAAGGACTAGCCTTTAAACACTTTACCTCAAAGCCACTTCAAGAAACACAAAGAGGGAATTCAGGGGATTTGCTATCTAGATAACCAGGAGCTTTGTTTTTCTGTTTTTCCAATGGGTAATTTCAACAAAGTAAATATACACGGACTAAAACACCAAACTATTATGATGAATCAATTATACCCTGACAGTATTTTGTCACACAATCCCATTTTATTTAAAAACCTCAATGATCTATAAATCAGTTTGGTCACTGTTTAAATATCAAGAATCTTTACAAAGAAACTACAGTGAAAAGCAATGGCATATATAAAACAAATGACATCTGTATTTGATTTTTATTGTGCCTAGTATCCATAAGCCTCATTTGGCACTAATTGCTTGATATTGTTAGCTAACTTTTTATAAGTTAATTCTTTGTTTCCCCAACTAGATTGTAAGTCCTTTGAAAACTGTCAATCACACATACATATAGGAGGGGCTCAACAAATACCTGTTAAATAAATTAAGAGCACCAGATAATGAAAGGTTAACATCAATTAAAGTATAAAACATGATACAATTTTCCTTTATTCTACTAAAATAAACATCAGAAATAATTAAGTTACGCAAACCTATTCCATTTCCCAGTGATATAAGTGAAAATGTCACTGCTATGAATGTACAGCATCACAACTATAATACATGCTAATCAAATCAATTGGTACAGCGCTTCATTTTGCACAATGGAGCAAAATAACAAACAACAAAACCTTTCTGTTATTAGACCCCAATTTCAACTAAAAATAAAGGCTTAATGTAGACTAAGGAATATCACTTATAGTGACACTATTCAAAGCTGGCTTTAAAATGTGCTAGTTGAATAGTTTTAGCTGGTAATCTAAGGAAAAATGATTTATTGCTGTACACTTACAAACTAGAAAGGAAAATTTGGGATTTCTGATTTAGATTTGATACTTAGTCAAATTTTCTCTTCTCTTTTTCAGAGATTAGTAAATCATGGCAATAGTTTCTCTATTTGATCATCAAAAAAAGTGCTATAAAGACATCATTTACTTGTAACTGCCATAAATTTATTCCCAGCAGGAAACTTTTTCAAGTATTGTTTCTAATCAAAATAATATGATTCACTTAGGGTTGTTTATAATTAATAGATGCCACACAGAGATTCTTAGAAATGTTTAATTCTTACTGATGACTGGAGACATAAAAGTGGGAACTGTTATGAATGGGTTAATATTTAGAAAAAACATATTATTTGTGATTGGATTGCACTAATGAAAGCTTGTGGATTGCAGACAATGAAAATGATTATTGCTGGGAAATGCCTGGTAATAAATGTCAGTGATTTGTCAGTGATATGGGCATATGGAACATAAACCTTTTCTTTTCATTAAAAACACTGTCTTTGTATAAAAAAAAAAGAAAGGAAAAGTGCTTTTTCTATAAACTTAACTAAGTAAAGCATTTTATTTTTCCAAAATGATGTGAGGTGGTTTACAAAGCTGGCACACACAAGACAATAAAAATTAAAATAGAACAGAATTAAAACTCAAAAAGTGGTTATGAAGAGGAGCATCAAAACCCCCATACCAGGCAGAGTGAATAATGTTTGTTAGTCACTGCGGGGGAACAATAAATCAGCGTGAAGCTTCTAGACAGCTAAGGCCAAAGGGGAAAAGTGTAGGGTTCTCATTATCAACAATTCAAGACACTTGTAAATACCTACTAGGTGGCAAGGCATTCAAAACACAGACACAAATGAAGTAGTACTTGCCTTTGAGGAACTCATATGTCACTATCTGTGTACATCATGTACATAAATAAGTAAATATAAAGTACATAAAGTAACACTAACAACTGCGGAATAAGAGCAGGAAAGGCCTCATTTAAGAGGTGGAACGTGAGCTAAAACTTGAAAGAAGCTGGGGATTAAATATCTACGGATAAATAAATACAGTTCAGTAAAGGAGAGAGGGGAGGAGAGTGCAGGTGGGAAGAGGTGGCTTTGTAAAGATTTTTCATGGAAGTGGCTACTTAGATGAATGTTAAAGGAAGCCTGAGATTCTAAGAATTTGAGGTAAGGAGGGAGTACACTCTAGACACAGGAGAATAGATTGTGCAAAGGTATGGATGGAGGTGGAAGATGGCATGTCAAGTTCTGAGAAATAATGACCAATTTGACTGGAATATATCAAATGAAGAGGAGAAATAATAGAAGATATGAAGGAACCAGATTGTAAAGATCTTAAATATGTGGGATTGTTTCATTATTTACACGTATAACTCCAGTGCCTCATACACTGCTTGGAACATTGTAGGCAATTAATTAAATCATCAGCTTAGAAGTCTAACTTATATCCTAGAGGCAACAGAGAACTACTGAAGATTTTTGTGTAAGAGAGACATGATCAGACCTTTGTTTCAGAAATATTAATTTAGTAGCTGTAGGGAAAATGGATTAGAAAAGAGAAGAAACTTGGAAAAGGAATCTTATAAGTTCAATAGGGAGAAAGAAGTTTTCTTGGTAATAAAGTTCAACAGGAATTCACCTCTAGGATCCTTTCATAAAAGGTACTGTTATATAAAAGACATTATTACCAATTACAGTTTTGCAAGAGATACAGTAATACCCCTCATATAGACTTTTCGTATTAGTCCTCTACCCTCTATGATAGCTGAGGGTTATGTTAAATTCTGGCAAGGGGAAAATGTTTCTCCAGGGAGCTGTGGTAATATGGTCTCTGCACACAGCTTCATAACGACCTAATTTATATAGAGATAAATCTTTTAAAACCCCAGAGGAAATAATAATGAACACATTAGACCTTTTTCTCTAAAATATCAAATGTCTCAAGTAAAATGCTCGCAACTAACAGACATCAGATTGTTCATGGTTAAATTATATGACAGTTCCTTGATGTAACAATCATAAATGTTACTGATAAAAGGATTGATGTTTTACACATCTGACAAAGGAAAGTAGCATTAACGCTGCTATGAAAATGCATGACCATAATCTGAATTCTTACACAGACAGAAGGCTATTCCATTTTCGTAGAGAAGTAGCCTAAATTGCTGATTTAGCCTCCACCCTTAAGCTAATGCAAATGTTATTACAGGTGAGAAACAATTAAAATGGTAGGTCAAATATTTTGACAACTGGAAAAAACTGTGTTTTCTGTAATAATTTCAATATACAAAGGTTTTTGTTAAAAGTCTAAAGATTAAATAGAAAATAATTTCCATTTGTGTTGGTCATACTTAAATAACTTTTTAGCTATTATGAAAAAAATATAGAACATGAATGTCACATTTAGTTTTACTTAATTACCAGTCAACTAGTTATTTTCCAGATTGGAATTAGCCAACTATCATATATGCAAGGTGATAATGAAGTAACAGGACTTTGACTGACTTGTTCTAAACAAACAGAAGTACTTATATATTCAAATGACTACTGATCCAATCACTTAAATTCAGTAAGTGTTGAGTACCTTTATTATATGCCAAACAATGTGGCCTAGGTCCTCAAGTGTGGCCCTTTGACTGAAACTAAACTTCACAGAACAAATCTCCTTAATAAAAGGATTTGTTCTGTAAAACTTGGACTTAGTCAAAAGGCGCAACCAAGGACCTAGAAGGTCACATGTGGCCTCGAGGCTGCAGGTTCCCCACTCCTGTTCTAGGTTAAGGACAGGTCCAAGAGCCAAGAATAGTTTTCACATTTTAAAAGTTTTGTTGTATTTAAAAATGTAAAAACCATTCTTAGCTTGGGGCAGTAAGCTGTAGGCATCAGGGAAGATTTACCCCCTGGACAGTAGTTTGCCACTTCTTTTTAGGTTCTACAAAAACAAGAACCTCACTCTTCCTCAAGAAGTTTACATTCTACTGGAGGGATATTAAGAGATACAAAAATAAATATAAAGTACATACATAGTAATGAACAATCCCTCAGGATGAGGGTGAGCATTCCTAGTAATGAGGCTGGGGATCAGAAAATATCTCATGTTGGAGGCAGAACAAGAGCTGAGTTGAAGAGGACGAGGGATTCAAAGAATCAGAGATGACGAAGATGGTGAGTATTCTAGACGTGGGCGGAGTCGGGAGGGGAGGTAGTGGAGAGAGACAAAATTTCAAATAACATTCCTTTGAAAGGAGTCACCTATCCCAATGATGCTGCCATTGCTCAAAAGGGGGAGTCTCTTGAAAGCCTGACAATGCATTCTTTTGAATATCCTCTATCAAATCTTATTCTTCATTCTTCAAGGATATAAATTTTGGAAAGTAGCCAAAAATATTCAAGGTCAAATCTGATGACCATAGTAGGTGGTCATGCAAGACACCATCATTTTTGTACCCTCCTTCTCCAACCTCCAAAGGTAAACACTAAAGAAAGCAGTTTTAAAAGACCATTTTGCGTAATGGAAACAGAGGAATAAGTACCTCAAAGAGACATTTTTAGGACATTAATTTAGATGCTCAGATCCTGATACATTTGCTAAAAAAAAAAAAGTTAAGGATTTCTTTTGCAATTTTATTCAAATGATTGGCAAAACTGCCCCCCTTCCTATATACTGGAGATATGATAAACATGAGCTATTCTATAAGACCACCTAATATAGCAGAAAGAGTACTTGATTTGGAATTAGAGAAGTTAGATTCAAATTCTGGCTCTATGTACTACAAGATGTGACCTTGGTACAAATGAAATGACTTGACTTCTCTGGGCCTTCGTTTTTTATCTAGTTCTAAATCTACGTCCTAGAATAACCACCTAGGCTAGAATAAGAGAAATGTGTTTAATTTGCCACAAGGAAGGTTAATATTGAAGATTTTTTTACCTTTTAGCATTATAGAGTGAACTTCCCCAGAGATTTTTAACAGAGAAAACAAATAAATAACAATAACAAATAAGAAGGCTAAATATGTTAGACATAGACCAGCTAAAATAGGAAGTGAACTAGTTGAACCCTCAGCCCTTTAATTCTAAGTGAACTTAAAAAAAAATACATTTATATTGTAGGGTTCTGTTTATAGCCAGATGAAAGGATGAACATTTCTTGTTCACATTTTTGGGGGCACTTTAGGAGCTTTGGATAGTTATTAAACAATGAGAACAGAACAATAACAGATTATAAAATATAAAGGATGAACTCTTTAATCTTCTGAGGCAAATTTAGTGAAACTTTTAACTAAATGCAAAGAATCCTCAATCACAAAGTTGTTTCAAAACAAAAAAAAATCACATTAACAAACTGTGATAATATTTTCATATATTTTAATTTTTTCAGCTATGAATTGTTTATAGTTATTTAATCATATAAAAATACACTTAAAATGTAAAGCTTTATAGCCCTTATTCCAAAAAGATGTTACAGCTCCTTATTTCATGTATCTTCCAAGCATTTTCTCCAAAGGATTTAAATATCTAACAACAAAAAACAAAAAACAAAAACCTCCACACACAAAAAACCCCAAAGAGTCTTTACATACTCTTAAAGAATTAGAACACCGATCCCCAAAAAAACATCAGTATCTGTATTTGGTGGAATAGTCTTTTGGAGAAACCACGAGACCTCTACCTTTACGAGCGCCTCTATATACTGTTTCTATTATGTCAATCATCTCTTGCTTGTCTTCCATTGCCCAGTTAATCTTGTTGTTGTTACCCGTACCCAAATCGATCATGATGTGCTTGTTCCTTCAAAGAGAAACAAAAAGAAGTCAATTCACATACGACTTTAAAGGAAAAAGAATGTTATGTACTCCACACATACCCCATCCAAAATATGTTACTATTATTTTTTCAAGTCTTGTTACAAGCTGCAGCATCAACATCACCTTAATACACAGCATTCTCTGTCATTTCTGGTTTTGTATATGTAAAATAAAAACTTAACTCTAAAAATGCATTGCTGCTTTTACTCCATTAAAGAGACATCTGAATAAGACATTAGACATGTTTCAATTCAACATGGCATTTATTAAATACCCACTATATATGTCAAACACTGAACTAGGTCTTGGAGATATAAAGGAAAAAATGACAACAGTCCTCGTTCTTAAGAAGCCTTCATTCTACTGGGTTGTGAATTGTTTATAGAAATGGGGCAGTCCTCAACTAACAAACTGTTTTTCAAAAGTTCATTTTACATCAATTAAACAACTAGTCATTTAAGCATCTACTATATGCTATTTATTGGGAACATAAATATGATTTTTGGAAGATCAAAGAGAATACAACTGACAAGTACAAATGTCCTACTTCCAAAAGGACAGTGAGAATGGAGTCTAAAAATTATAGATCAGTGAGACTAACTTCATTTCCTGGTAAAGTTCTGGAATTATTAAAGATATGTTTAGTAAACATCTCATAATGACGCATAATTTCATCAAGAACAGGTCATACCCAAGTAACCTCATTTCCTTGACTGACAGGGCTGATAAAGGGATTGCTGTATATACACATAAATTTTAACTAAGTTATTTGACACTGACAATCTCATGCTTTTTTTGTGTGTGAAAAGATTGTTTGTGGGGTAGGCAACAGTACAATTAGGTGGATTTGGAACTAGTTGAATAGCTGGACCAAAGATTGGTCATGAATGGATTAATGTTAACTTAGAAAGACATCTCTCCTGGAATGACCCAAGGTGCCATATTTGGCCCTATACTGTTTATCACTTTCATTAGTGACTTAGATGAAGGTAAACAGATGGCATGTTTATCAGATTCACTGAGGATACAAAGCTGGGAGGAACAGATAAGACACCAGATGACAGTCAAGATCCCAAAAGAATTTGATAAACCATATGTAATAAGGTAAAAATTTATTAAAATATACATAGAATATAGAATATAAATGAAGCCTTATAAATCAATTTCACAGGGACAAGTTAGGGGAAGCATGGGTTAAATGGCAGTTCACTTAAAAAAGATCTGGAAAAGGCTCAGGAGAGACAAGGTAGTTTTATTAAAGTATTTGAAGAGCTGTTAAGTAGGAAAGGGATCAGATGTTCCCTGTTTGGCCTGAGAGGGCCGAACTGGGAACTGAAAACAACAGGTAAAATTACAAAAACGCAAATTTAGACCAGTTGCAAAATACTGCGAATTCTACATCCACAACATCTCTGGCATCTGTTCCTTTCTCTACTCAAAAAAGCCACCACCAAATTTAGGCCTTCATCACTTTTAACTTGGTTATTTGCAGTAGCCTCCTAATTGGTCTTGCTTCATAATTTTTCCCTTCTCCAATGAATATTCCACACAGCTGCTAAAGTGATCTTCCTGAAATGGAAGTCTGACTACATCATTTCTTTCTCCCATACTCAACAAACTCCAATGGCTCCCTCGAGCACTACGGTCAATTACAAACTCTTCTGTTTGGCTTTTATAACCTTTCACAATCGGACTACAAACTCTTTTCAACCTTATTATATAATATTCCCTTTCTTATAGTTTTTAGCCAAATTGGTATTCTTATTATTCTTCACACATGGCACTTCATCACTAGTTTCTATGTCAGTGTACAGGCTTTCCTCATACCTGGAATTCACTTCCTTCTCATCTCCACCTCTTAGAATTCCTAGTTTCTTTTAAAACTCATCTCAAGAGCCACTGTCTACATAAAATCTTTCCTCATACCATTTCCCCACTCCGCAAAATATTACCTTGAATTTATTTTTTAATATATATTTTGCATCAAATATGTACATATAAGATAAATACACACACACACACACACATTATCTTTCATTTTAGAACGTAACCTCATTCAGGGGAATGAATGTTTCATTTTGTCTCTGTATCACAGGGTAGATACTTGAACATAGCAGAAACGTAAAACTCACCAATTGCCTAAAGTAACAAGGTAGTTGAGTGGCAGAGATCTGAACCCTTTGACCTGAAATAGTGTTCTTCCTACTAAAGCAGAATATCCAGAACATCAGTGTTGTCATTGAATCCTACCTCTCCCTCAGATCCAATCAGCAGTTAACTCTTTCCAGTCGTATCCTTCTCATCTGTCTCTCTGCCCATCCCTTCTCTATTCCCATTACTATCATGCATACTATCTGTTTTCTTACCTGACAATTCCAATAATCACCTGAGAGGTCTTCCTACCTCATCTTCACCTCCTTACAAATGAGCTGACAGTCACTGCAAGCCAATACTGCTCTCATACAGATCTAATTACATCATTCCCCTGCTCAAAACTTTTCAATGTCTCCCCATTTATTAGATAAAATAACTAGATACTTATACCAGATACTTAACTTGGCATTCAACAGCCTCCACAAGTTTCTAACCTGCCTTTCCAATTTTACCTCAACCTACTCCCTCCTTCATATACTTTATACTTCTACTAAACCAGTCTATGTGGTATTTACTAACACACTATCCCTTCTCATGCCACTGGTTCTTACAAGGTGTGCTGCAGCACTAGTACAACACAAGTCTTACTAGGTATACTATACTTATTAAGTATACTACTCACACCCTGAGACTCTGACATTCCCCCCCTCCTTCTCCCAGCTGCAGTTTGCTGCCTGGTCTTCCTAGGTTGGCTCCAGAAAGGTCACAATATCAGCTCTCTCCAAGGAGGAACAAAGCCACCTTCTCCATGGTAAATACTGGAGAAATAACGAAGAGGATGAGGGGGGTGCAGGATGGAAAAGAGAGGTAGAGTATCCCACCATTCCTACAGGCAAAGAATACTGTGATATGAACACAAAGAACTCATCCTTTAATGAGCCTCTCAAATACCATCTTTTCCATAGTCTTCTGTGATCGTCCCCCCTATATTGAGCAGGCAGTAAAAACTTTCTTTGCTGAATTAGTCATGAAAATTTGGGGAGAATAGAAGCGAATGACAGATTAATATTATGTATGAATTATTAAATGTTATGTCTGTCAGGATATTAAATAATTTTAAAGCCTCCATACATGACAAAATCTTACCATGGTTCCAAAAAATGTACGCACAAAAATGGAAAAACTCTCTTGAATACACTAATTACACTTAACTGCGTTTTCTTAGCAGTCACATTTTATAAAAAAATTATTGGAAGACATTAAATTGGCATAACTTCATTTCACTATTAACATAATGAGATTCATTTTGTATTCTAAGCCAATTCCACTTGGAGTGTAAATCAACTGTTCCAAAATAGGAAGTACCATACCCAGAGGTGTTTTGAATACATTAAACATCACAAGTTTTCTAGAATAAACTGAGTAGTAATTTTTTTAAAAATACCATACCTGAAGAAAAACATGACAGTACAGGGATCATACAACTCATACATTTTATTGAAGTCTGGTACTTCTGTAATATCCACAAGATATATAACTGCAAAATTTTTTACCTAAAAGAAAAACAAAAAAAGAGGAATCAATCTAGGATATTTCTTTTTTATTTTCATTTCACAAAGGTAGATTTTTAAAGAATTTGGTTACAATATATTTAAAATAAAGACATTTATTCATATCTCTGCCCAGAACCATTTTCCCCACTGTAGCTTTTATGGAACAAAAAATACCGAAAACGTCAAATTTTGACACCTAAATGTTAACATATGCTTCATACTTCCATTTTCTAAGACACCTCAGGATAGCCTGGTAAGTTTCAAACAACAATCTAAAGGTTGTAAAGAAAATTGCAACACGTTTTATAAACAGAGGCATTTTAATAAGTGATTCTGATACAAATAAATAACTCTGCACTAAGCAGTTCTAAAGAAAAGACTCCTAAACATAATCAGCTAGTTATCTCACCAGACACTTCTGTCCTCACCCCCAACCTTGGGAGGACAGAGTCCTGGAGGGTTCTGGTTTGGCATTGACCTTGAACTTGATCATGATCTTGGTCTTTTGGTCCTTTGGCTTCCACTTTTCCAATTATTCTGGTTGAACACTTGCAACCAACCCTGATGTTAAGCAGTACCCAAATACAAAATTATTATACAAAATACATTTTGCAGGGAAAAGCTGATTTTCAAAATTATACTCTTCTATCAGGTTATTAAAAGATTAATAAGAATAGGGCTATAAACTTCTAATAGACCAAGATAACTATACCTAATTATGTATGTGTAAACTATATACAACTATACTTTTTTTTTTCCCCACTCTGCTCAATGGTTAGCACAGTCCTGTACACTGAGTACGCACACAAGTGTGTAATCAGTATGCTAAGAAGATAAGACTCTACTCCTAGGAAGGGCACAGTGTTACCCCAAAATGTAAAAGCAGTATGGTACAGCAGAAAGTTATGGATTTGGAGTCAGAGGATATAAGTGTGCATCATGGCTCTGCTACTTGATTTTTAGTGTGACCTTGGGCAAGTCACTAAAACTCTAAGGGCCTAAGTCCCTCATCTGTAACGTGACAGGTTTGGGTTGGAGGGCCGCTGGGGTGCCATCCAGATCTAAATCTATAATCTTATAATCTTTATCCTTTTAGTTTTCTTTAAATGAAGTTTTATTCAAATTTTTGCAACACCAAAATTTCTCCCAGTTATTGGTCCTCCTTCACTCTCCCAGAGAGCCATTCCATATAATATCCCTCTATTTTCTTGTACACAATAGACCACTCTATTTTCTTACATGCAAATTAGGTCTAAAGAAGATAAATGTTTGAAAAATAAACATATGAACTTGTGTGCCAAGATATATGAAGACAGATGAACTGACTTCATCTTAAATGAAAATATGGCCAACAAGAAATAGAAAACAGTAAGACAAGTCATAAAAAATTTTAAAACACTCCAAGTAATAAAACTCTCAGTTACACATACACACACACACACACACACCCCTAAGTTTTACACATTTAGAAACAGAGGAAATGACATTATTTTAGTTATTTTATAGAAAATTCAATATGAATTAACAGATATTCCATAATGTTATTAACTACTGAAGATATATTCATATAGATATATAATTACCAATATTTCTAACTGTAGCTTCATTATTATTAAGTTCAGCAATAAGTTTCATCTTTTTTGTTGTTGTTCAGTCACGTCTGACTCTTCATGATCTCATTTGGGGTTTTCTTGGGAAAGATACTGGAGTGGTTTGCCATTTCCTTTTCCAGCTCATTTTACAGATGAGGAAACTGAGGTAAACAGGGTTAAGTGACTTCCCCAGGGTCACACAGCTAAGTACCTGAGGCCAGAGTTGAATTCAGGAAGATGAGTTTTCCTGACTTCAGACCCTGTACTGTGCTATCTAGCTGCCACTCATTACATATACATTATATGCTTCAAAAATTTAATGGGTTCAAGGTACTATACCATGAATTTCACTTCTTTCAATAACCTCTTTTCTTCACCTTACATGTAACCCTACATAGTACTCTCACTGAAAACCACAGTGAATTCTGCATACAGCACTTACACTTTTGACCATGCCTGAAGATCAATACTATGCACAGATATTCTCTTCCACTACTTCAATCATAAAAGAAACAGTAAATAAATATGTCAAAATCTTAATAAACATGATAAATGGTTTGATATATATAAGGTGACAACAATATATTACCAAGTTCTTCAATTTCTGGCCCCTAAAGCAAAGAACAAAATACAGGCAAAGGCAAAACATGGGGATATGAGAAAGATCAAGGAGTGAATAAACTACATATCTAAAGTCCTAGAATTCCCTGATATAAAAGCAAAGGTTATTAGCAATATTTTCTTAATAAAAGTAAAGGAATATAAATAATCACTTAATTTTCAAGATTAGACTTCTACAGGAACAAAAGGGAAATTTCTTTACCACTATAATTCTCACACTCTGAACATAAAGCTGAAAAAGTGCTAGGTTTTTAAAAACTGTATCCTTTTACTAGTCTTTAATACTGACAAAACATATAATAATTTATATTTCTAAGTGTTTTTAATAGAATGTTGTAATTATAATTACCAAGGTTATCCTTAAAAGAAGAATTGAAAAGATGCACCTCCACCCTTTTGAAAATGTGGGGGTCTATGGATGTAGAATATAGTACATACTGTCGGACAATGGATATGTTGGTTGGTTTTGCTGAACACTTTTTTTTTTTAATCTTTGTTATAAGGAATGGCTTGCTTGGCAGGGGAAGGGAGGACATATACAAAGTAAAGACATAAAAGCAAGAGCTATCAATAAAGATTTTTCAAAAGTGTATTCCTGTTTGGCTTGGCTTAACTTTAATACTGAATATACTCTTTACAACTTGACATATAGTAAATGTTTTCATTTTAAAAGATTATTATATATTATTTAATCTATAATACACGTACATCATAGAATCTTAAGAGCTGAATCTAGACATCATCTAGTTTAACCTTGAACTCAATGCACAAATTTCCCCTCTGACATATCCTGCAGAATGATTTTTCAAGCTTTTTAGCATGAACATTTCCAGAACAGTTCATTACCCCCCTAAAAAATAATCCATGCTATTTTCAGATGGGTATTTGAAAGTAGTTTCTTAGTCAAAATCTGTCTCTCCATAATTTTTACCCACTGAGTCAGTCCTCTGAAATTGTATGGAAAATACCTAATTCTTTTTCCCTATAATTCATCTTCACATATTTGGAGATAGCTATGAAATCCCTTAAGTTTTCTCCTCTCCAAGAAAAACAGCCCTGGTGCCTTCAACCAACCCTCCTATGACATGTTATCAAGACCCTTCACCATCCTGGATACCTACTTTGGATACGCTTAAATTTATCAAAGTCCCTCTTAAAACACGGCCCATTGGAATGAACCCCAGGTATACTGTGACACACAACACAGTAATAGGCAAAAAAGAAAAAGAGCCGAGGCATGGTGATGCATGTCTATAATCTCTGCTGCAATTAGTGAATCACCTGAATTTGGGAGTTGAGTTATTGTAGTAGGACTAAAGCTAAATGAAGGACCACACTAAGTCCAGAACAGTATGATAAGCCCTTGAGAGCAGGTCACCAGGCTGACTAACGAGGGGTGAATTAGTCCAGTTCAGAAAAATGAAGCAGGTTAAAGTTTCTATGCAGATTGGTATTGGGATCCAGCCCATGAGCGGATTCTGGAGTTCCAGCCTGGGACTTTTTTGAGACTTGGTCTCAAAAGAAACAAACAAACAAAAAACCAGTAGGATTATTACAGTGAATGACACCTGATTATCAACTTATATTGAGCTTGTAATCAATTAAAACCTCTAAGGTTTTTATAGATTGCAGTTGTTGGCTCGAAATTTCTGAATCCTGTATACATACAGTTTTTTGTTTTTGTTTTTTAGCTCAAGTGAAAGGTTTTACATTTATACCTATTAAAGTTCATTTATTAGCTTGGTACATTATTACAGCCTATTGAGATCTTCTGAGACTCAATACTGTCATTTAATACACCGATTGATCCATGAACAAAATACTCCATCTCTCGACTCCAGGCATCCTATCTGGCTGTCCCCAATGCCTGGGATGCTCTCCTTCCTTGACTATGATTACTGACCTCCCTGGCTTCCTTTAAGGCCCAACTGAAGCCCCAACTAAAGCCCCAACTAAAACTCCACCTTCTATAAGAAGCCTTCTCTAAACCTTTTCTATTCCAGTGGCTTCCCTGTAATAATTACTTCCTATTTATTCTGTATATGACTTGCTTTGTCTCTTTTTCTTTGCATGCTGTCTGCCCTAACAGATGGAAAGCTCTTTTAGAGCAGGGATTGTCTTTTGCCTCTTTTTGTATCCCCAGTGCTTAGCACAGTACCTGGCACATAGTAGGCACTTAGTAAATGTCTACAATTGACTATTGACAGATTCACTGAATTTCTCCATGATGTGTCTTTCTGCATGAATGATAAGCAGGACTTCTCTATCTTCAATCAAACTATTTATGAACAAGATGGATTCCTGTGGCATATCCTTGGAGATTTTTCTCTGCTGGCTGACAACAATCCATTAAGAAACACTCCTGGAAATATTATGTAGATGCAGGTGTTCAACCAAAAAAAATCCATCTAATATTTTCCACACTATACATTTTTGGGCAGTAATTTTTATATTTTTAGGGGACTAATTTTGTGGCTGTAATAAAATCAAATGATGATGATTTTATTTACCAGTAGACAATCACATATCTTACTGAGATCTACTCTACCACAACAATTCATTTGGCCTCATGCAACTTTTTTACTTTTAGCACCAAGGCATTACCTCTGTACACAGACACTTTCAGTGATTAGGGCTAATGAGAATCTGTAATCTTCCCCAGAGACTGCTTTTAATAAGAAACTAGAATTTTTAGACACAAACTCAGTGAGAAATCAAACACTATCTTTATAATATATATAATATAATAACATTATTTATAATTATGTATAAATACAAATATATGTAATATATGTACATACGTACACATGTAATATATATATGCGTGTGTATATGTATGTACGTATATATATATAATGTAAAAAATTCTTGTAATACTCCTCCAAAACAAATTTCCAGAATTATACATTTCCACTATGTCCTTAAATTGAGGGGGTGGAATATATATGTTCTCTATATATTATGTAACATTTAATATATATATTTAGTATTTCTAGACTTACTATGCAACTCCCACTGAAAAGAGTGGTTTTCTTTAATTTTTCAAAATGAAGGAGCTTTTTGAGCCCCCAAAATTGGATTTCTAATGCAGTCCCAAGAAAATTTTATCAAGACACTGCTCCCAAATGCTACATAATCCGAAGTTAAAAACCTTAACCTACATCTTCAAGCTTTAACATTTCTTAAGTTTATTTTATGTATATGGTTCCACCCTTCAGCTACCAGAGTTTCAAAAGAAAAAAAGCATAAACAAGATTTTTATACACATTGGATATAAATAGGGAATATGAAGTAAAAGCATGGTATGACATAAAGAACACTGGATTTGAAGTCAGGAGACCTGATTCTAGCATCATCTTAGTTATTAACTAGAAGTGTAACTTGGGCAAGTCCACCTCCTCTCTACATACTTTCCCTAACTTATAAAATGAAGGTGTTAGCTAAGATGATTCTGAGTTTCCTTCTGTCTGCAAAATTCTATGTTGTTCCAGTGCATCTCAAAGCAACACTGATTGAAGTTCATTAGTACTATTTCTGATACATGACTTCAGATATTATTGTGAGCCTCAATCCTTCAAAACGCAAAAATGTTTTGTATATGATATGAAATATACTTTACTCTAAGTCTTGAAACTACTTGTTAAAATGGCAACTTTATTTTTTAATGCCTGAAAATATTATTGTACCACATCTGTAAATAGTAAACTCTAGATTTAATAAAGACTAAATATAGTTTCCATCATTAAGTACACACCTCGTAATTGAATTAAAATTAAATCAGCTTGAGGTGTTGATTGGCAAAAGCAGTATGTCAACAAACTACATTCGAGGAGAAATACTGTATAACCAAGTCCCACCTGAACATCTGGAACTTTTACTCACTTTAAAACTGTCGTGATATCCAAAGATGGCTCGCTAGCAAGATGAGGAAGGAGATCTCCCATTATCTGCCATTTCTGCAGAGGGAGATTTTTAAATAGAAAGTTATATTTTTCTTATTTCCCACAGAAACCTTAAGCGTCAAAAATTCTTGTAATGCTCCCCCAAAACAAATTCCAGAATTATACATTTCCACTATGTCCTTAAATTGAGGGGGTGGAATGTAAAGCTTTGAAAAAATAATCTTTGCATCTCAGGTTTGCATTCTATATAGATATTAAAATGGATGTTAATTTAAAACTAAATCCAAATTTCACTGTTATAGAAATATGAAACAGAAATCTACAAAGCCCAGAAGCTCAAATTATTTCTAAAAATGTTTTCATTATTAGTGGATTTACTATTATATACAATTTTGCCTTTTATATAGTGATTTATATCATGGAAACTATAATAGAATTAGAAAAAGAACAAATATAGTTAACAGGACACAAAAACTTGTATTATATTCCCTAGCCAGTTGCAATTTATTGCAGCTTTGTTGAGATAAGAACACATGACTGATACTCATGTCAACAACCATTCCAGTCTCACTTTGACTAACGGCAGCAGGATTTAGACCACTTACGGTTAACATTACTTATGTGTACCTATATTCAACCTTGTGTGATACAGCTAAGAAATGGATAAAATGGGAACAAAGGGTCACATCTTCTATTATTCTTGGCCCTTGTCAGTGGTAGTTCCTAGTTTGAAGAAAATACAGTTCCTCTCCCTTGCTTTCCCCAGAAACTTCCAGATTCCTTAGTCTACTGAGGTGGGAAAGGGAGATTAGAACATGACTAGAAGTCAAAAGAGTAGAAGAGTATACAGAAGTCAAAAGAAAGTGCATTTCTTTAATTCTAACCTCCAGCCAACTACCAGTGATAATGACTGCCAGGTTAGCTTCATATAAATTGTTTTTATTGTTGTTCGCTCATGTTTGACTCTTCATGACCCCGTGGACCACAGCATACCAATATTGTCCAAGGGGTTTTCTTGGCACAGATACTCAAGTGATTTGCCATTTCCTTCTCCAGTAGATTAAGGCAAACAGAGGTTAAGTAACTTGCCCAGGGTCACACAGCTAATAACTGTCTGAGACCAAATTTGAACTTAGGTCTTTCCGACTCCAGCAGCATTCTATCCACTGAGCCACTTAGCTGCCTCCTAGGCAAACAGAGGTTAAAAGGCTTGCCTAGGGTCACACAGCTAATAACTGTCTGAGGCCAGATTTATAGTCAGGTTTTCCTGACTCCAGACCCAACGCTCTATCCACTCAGCCATCTAGCTGCTCCATTGCATGGTTTTATTTTTCAGTTGTTTCAACTGGGTCCAACTTGCAATCCCAAAGATACTAGAGCGGTGTGCCATTTCCTTCTCTATCTCATTTTATAGATAAGGAACTGAGGCAAACATGGTTAAGTGTCACACAAGCCCAAGGTCATTCAGCTATTAAGCATCTGAGGCCAGATTTGAACTCAGGAAGGTAAGTCTTCCTGACTTCAAGCCTGGCACTCTATCCATTGTGCCACCTAGCAGCAGCTGCCCTGAATATACATACACATACAAACACACACATACATACATATACCCATGCGTGTACATGTGTATGTGTATATATCTCTATTTACAGAGTTATATAGAGAGATTCATGTTGGTGTTTCTTATTAACACTATGGAAGCCTTGAAAGAAAAATCATATTTACAAAAATAAGCCATGATATATGGTGATTTCAAGATGTTTTATAGCTTTCACTAACCTTTAATTACATTTAATATTAGTTTAGGAAATTTCATCTTAATTAATAATTTATCAACATCATTATAACAACATATGAAAATGAAATTTCTTGACACTAAATGATTATTCCTACCACAGCCTCCAGAAATTTGTACCAAAAGTTTACCGCCCAACAATACAGTGATACCCCAGATTAATATTATTGTTGTCAGCAAAATAAAACACTGAAATACAGTACTCTGGTTTAGACAACACATGTCTAACATTTTATTTCCAAATGTCAATGGAATTTGCTTCAGAGGAAGATATCAATTAGCTCATGTATGGTAACCAAAGCACACAAGTAAGAGAATATTAAAGACACCAATTTCAAGATTACAGTATGCTCTATGTAGGTTCATATAACACACATGCCTCAGAAAGCTTTAAATTATAGGTAGCAAAAAACAAATTTAAGCATATCTAGAGTACAGCTTCTAGGATGTGAAGGAGAATTTTGCCTCTAAAACAAAGGCATAACACTTCTGAAATATCCTCTGAATGTTCAGACCTGTTATTTTAAACTAATGTTTTCTTTTATGTGGAGTTAACTAATTTTCACAATTTTAGCTGTTAACAGTCACAAAAACAGACTAATGCTGAAGGTAGCAAAAAGCAGGAGGCAGTAAGACCCTGAAATCAAGAAAGAATGAATCAATAACACTTACTGATTATTCCCTATGCTGGAAGCCTGTGCCACATAAGTATTCTATTTACCATGTTTATTATAATTCTGATTCATTTCAATCCTGAGATGGGGTAAGTAAATCCTGAAAAATACCTTATGTATCTAAACCATTTATGTACTGGTATACTAAAAAGCAAATGAATTCAAAATTTTTGGTTTCAATATGAGGTGTGGCTTTTAATCCTAGATCATATACATTCCTCATTTCCTTAGTTCCAGGAAAAATAGTATAAATGTTTAAGAACCTAATTAATGATTTCAATTACAAGTAGCAGCAGTGAGCAAAATGGAAAGAGAAACAGAGAATTAGGCAGGTTCAGGTCCTGCCTCCATCCCCATAAAGCTGTATGACCCTTTATAGTCACTTTACCTCTCTGGGTCTCCATTTTTTCATCTGTAATATGAAGATAATACTTGTTCTGCCTATTTCATGGGCTGTTAAGAGGATCAAAGGAGAAAAAGGACACCAAAGGGTTTTGCAAACAAACAAACAAACATGAGGGATCATAGTATTAAAAACTGTTAAGCAAATAATGTTTACCTTTTCTGCAATACTATATAAAACTTCATCCATTTTCATACAAGTGGGGTCCCAATCATGTCCAAACCTAATGACAACAACCCGGTCCTCTTCTGAAAGAATAGCTTGATCTACCTGCCAACCATTGTGCAAATGTGGAAGCATGTACGACATCTTTAACAGTTAGCCTGAGTCCTGCAGAAGAGAATCCACTTATTAAAAATCATGTTGTTTCTTATTGTCCATCCCATTCCTACTAACATTAAGAAATAATCCTGGTAATAACAGACAATTAATACTTCAACTCAGACTAGTGAAAATGAAAATACTCCCCAATTCCCCTCGCCCCCCCCCCAAAAAAACTCCCCACACCATCCCAACCACACCTATAATTCTACTGCTACAAAACTACACTCCTACAAATGCCCAAGTAAGACTCTCCACCTCCTAGGGCTTTTTAAACCCAGTTTAAGAAGCACCTACAGTAGACCATTTACGTATTGGAAGACTAAAAAACAAATCAACTTAAATTTTCGGTTTTAATCTACGACACTGGCTTTTAATACTAGATCATAACGCTTTTCTCATTTCCTTAATTCAAGGGAAAAAGTATAAATGTTTAAGAACCCAATTAATGACCTCAATTACAAGTAGGAGCAGAGTGCAACGATGGGAAAAGCAACAGAAAATGCGGAGATGCAAGCTCAAGCCTGGCCTTCATCCCTATATATCTGTGTGATCCTGCACAAGTCATTTGACTTCTCTGCAGTCCTTTAAACCCAAAGCCTGCAGTCACGGCCCAGCAGCCGCATCGGCAGCTCAGGCCTTTGAATGACCTCACGGGGGTTCGCTATGCATTCACACGGGGGGGGGGGGTGACTAATACCGCAGTTCTTCTGAATCTGACGTCCGGTCTGGGGGCGGCAGGCGCCGGGTCCCCTCTGGGCCCGCCCTCCCCAGGCCTCCCGTCGCCCGCCTCGGCCCGAGCGAGGACAAGCTCCCGAGGCCTCGCGAGACACCCGGGGGCCGGCAGCGGACGACACGCTCCCTTCCGGGCCCCCAAGCCGAGGCCGCGCGAGCCCTCCAGGTCTCGCAGCGAAGCCGAGCCTCGGGGAAAATGGCGAAGCGACGGAAACCCGCAGCGGGGCCAGGCCCTCACGAAGGGCACAAAGTCGCGCACAAACCTGCCGCCAAAGAGAGAAAACCCAGCTCCACGAACCGCCACTGGAACCGCTGGCCCGCCCCCAACATCTGCGCGTGTGCGTGAGGACGCACTGCGGGCGCGCCCCCGTCCCAGTCGGGGAGAACGCGCTCCCTCCCGGGGGCGCGCGCGCGTGCATAGATCGCTCCCAGAGCTCTATCTCTAACCCCATCCGAGCTAGAGTGGTTGAGTCCGTTCCTGTCCATTAACGCGTTTTTGGAGCACCAACTTGGTGCTAGACCTCGTGAGGGATAGAATGATGGATAAAACCTCTAGGAACTTACATTTCATTAATGCATTGAGGTTTGCAAAGCACTTTTCTCCCCATAACCATCACGTCAACCCTCTCAAGTAAACAAGCACCTACTTTGTGACCTAATGCTAAGAGCTGGGATACAAAGAAAGGAGAAAGACTTACCTGCCCTCAAGGTGCTCAAAGTCTAATGGGTAAGACAGCACTCAAAATCCTCTACATACAAGTAATATGCAGTATAAAAGGAAGTTAATCTCAGAGGAAAGGCACTAGCAGCTGGAAGGATAGAGGTGACGTTTGAAATGAGCCTTGAAAGTCGCCTCAGTAGCCGGGGAGGCAGAGGAGAGGAAGGAGAGCCAAACCAAAAATATAAGAACTAAACTGTCTTTGAATTGGTAAGGAAAATCAGTAAGCATTCACATATTGCCTAATAAGAACTTAAATTTCCTTAGTGTTTGAAGTTTACAAAGTACTTTCCCAACAACTCTGGGAGGTAAATAATGAAAGTATTATCCCCATTTTACAGATGAGGAAACTGGATGCTGAGTTTTTGGGCAAAGGTCAATGGAGAAAGAAACAAATGATTTTGTCGTTGGCGTATACTACTGACAACTTGCACAGAAAGAAGAGCTAGAAGAGGAATTTGGGAAATAAAATCATGAGACTGGCATAGAAGGGACTTCACTTATCCAGACTTTTAGTTAGTCAATAACCATTTACTAAGTGCCTATTATGTGTCCAGCATTGTGCTAGATGCAAGGAATAAACAAAAAGCAAAAGACAATCCCTGACTGATCTCAAGGAGCTCACAATCTGATGGGAGAGACAACATACAAACAAATATATATAAACTATATACAGAATAAATAGGAAATAGTTATAGGAAAGGCTTCCTGTGGAAGGTGGGATTTTAGATGGAACTAGAAGGAAGCCAGGGAAGACACAAGATGGAGGCAGAGCATTCCAGGGAACAAAGACAGCCAGAGAAAATGCCCAGCTGAAAGAATGGGTATCCTAGAAGAGCAAGGAGGCTGGTGTCATTGAATCAAAGTGACATGGGAAAGAGAGGGTGTTAAGTGGTGGGGAAGGGTGTCCTAAGTGTTGAAGGCCTTTGAACGCCAAACAGAGGATTTTATGTTTGATCCTGGGAGTCACAAGGAGTCACCGTAGTTTATTAAGCATATGGGTGACGTGGTCAGACAGTTCCACTGGCTAGAACTCTCTCTGCCAAAAGCAGAGCAGCTAGAGACGGCTTGATTTTGCTTTGCGGTAATTTCATCCTTCTAAAGGTAGAGAAACCAACAGGGGGAAATTCTATTTTTGGATCTGATTCTCACTAACAGGGAGGAACTGTTTGCTAGAGTAAAAATAATGAGATCCCTGAGGGAAAAGTTACCACTTTTTCCTACCGTTTGTGATAGAGGAGAGGAAATCCATCATAGTCTGACTTGTAGTCCAGGTGTTTGAGAAAGCAGATTCAAAGGGTTCACAAGAAAGATAGGTAGAGGGGCAGCTAGGTGGCGCCGTCACACACATGACACTTACTAGCTGCGTGACCCTGAGCAGAAAAATAAATAAATAAATAAATACGATAGGTAGAATACCACGGACTAAAATGCCATTAGAAATAATCAGCCGCTGGAGGGGGAGGGTGGGAGTTGCTTAGAAACAAAGAGAAACTCCTCATAAAAAAGGAAAATGAAACTTGTCTGAAGAGACTTATGTGGAAACATTGGGAACTTACAACTTACATTTAAAAAGTAGAGAAAGAAAATGGAAGCAGGATGAATATAAAGCATTGTGGTCCCGAAAAAATTACTTTGTTTATCAAGATTAATGACCTTTGCACTAGAAATGTCAGAACAAAAATGACTAAAAGGAAATTGATATCCAAGATAAGACAGGAAATAGTAAAAGAGTACCTAATTGTACTTAATATATTCAACTTACCTGACCCAGATGAACTATAGTGTCAGGTCCTAAAAGAACTGGAAGATATGATTACTAGCCTTAGGATTATTTGAAAGACCATGGAAAATGGGAAAGTTGCTACTCCCTACATCAAAAAATTAGAGAAAGTCAAAAATACTACTTTTCAAAAAAGGAAAAAGAAGTGATCTGCAAGCTATAGGTCAATGAGCTTTATTTGAATTCTTTTGAAAATTCTAGAATTGAAGTGGTGGTTGTCAAATACTTTAAAAAGGGAAGTGGTGGTTACAAAGACCCAGTATGACTTCATCAAGAATAGGTCATATCCAAAAAAGGAAAATGTTGGATGTTGGAGAGGATGTTGGGACACTAATGCACTGTTGGCAGAATTGTGTACTAATCCAACCATTCTGGAGAGCAATTTGGAACTACACTCAAAGAATTGTAAAACTATGCAAACCCTTTGATCCAACAATAGCACTGCTAGGTCTATATCTCAAAGACATCCAAAAAAAGGGAAAAGGACCTATTTATAATATATATTATATGTTATATGTATATAAATATGTATTGTACATACATGTATTATAATACATTTATGTATTATAAATATATATAATATATAGCAGCTCTTTTTGTGATAGTTAAGAATTAGAAATCAAAGGAATACCCATCAATTGGGGCTTACCAAGCTGTGGTATATGATTGTAATGGAATATTATTGTGCAATAAGAAACGTCAAGGTGTATGGACTGATGCTGAGTGAAGGGAGCAGAAACAGAAGAACATCGCACACAGTAACAGCTACATTGTAGGATGACTAACTTTGATAGACTTAGCTTTTCTCAGCAATGCAAGGATCTAAGACATCTCCAAAAGTCTCATGATGGAAAATGCTATCCACATCCAGATAAAGAACTATGGAGTTTGAATGCAGATCAAAGCACACCGTTTGCTTTTTTTTTTTCTTCTGTTTTGTTTTGTTTCTTCTTTCTCGTGGTTCTTCCTATTGGGTCTAATTCTTCTTTACAACATGACAATAGGAATGTATTTTTTTAAAAAATGACAAGCAGGATGATTTCAGAAAAACCTGGAAAAACTTACATGAACTGATGCATAGTGAAGTGAACAGAACCAGGAGAACATTGTACACAGTAACAGCAATATTGTTCAATTGGTGAATGACTTAGCTATTCTCAGCAATACAGTGATCCGAGACAATCCCAAAGGACTAATGATGAAGCATACTATCTTCTTCCAGAGAAAGAACTGATATTGATTGAATACAGACTGAAGTATGATATTTTTCATTTTCTTTCTTTCATTTTTTCTTTAATTCTAGTCTTCTTGTACTAAATGACTAACATGGAAATGTTTTACATAATTGCATATGTATAACCTATATCTAATTGCTTACCATCTCAGAAAGAGGAGAGGGTAGGAAAGGAGGGAGGGAGAGAATTTGGAACTCAAAACTTAAAATAAAAATGTTTTTAAAAATTGGGAAAAAAAAGAATAGATCATGTCAAACTTCCTTTCTTGACAGGTCATTACTAAATAAGTAGATGAGGGGAATGCTGTAGCTAAAATTTGTCTAGATTTTAACAAAGCTTTTGATGAAATATCTCATGTTATTTTTGTAGAAAAGATAGACTTGAACTAGGTGATAATACATTTAGATGCAGAACTAGTGGCCAGACTCAAAGATTAGTTGTTAATGTCCAATGTCAATGTATCAAGAGGTCTCCATGGAATACCTAATGAATCTGTCCTCCATCTGTCTGCTTTGTTCTGTGCTGTTTAAAATTTCTATCAGTGATTTAGATAAACATATAAGTAGCATATTTATCAAATTTGCAAATGACAAAAATCTAAGAGAAGTAACCAATACACTAGATAATAAAATTAGGGTCCAAAAAGTTCTTGACATTCTGGATAACTGGGCTAAAGCTAATAAAATAATATTCCACAGTGATAAATGTGAAGTCTTACACTGGGTACAAAAAATAATTAGCTTCACAAGTACAAGACAGAAGAGGCCCAGTTAAAGAGCAGTTTTTCTGAAAAAGAACTGGAAATTTTACTAAACTACTGGTTCAGCATGAATTATCGGTGTGATATGGAAGTCAAAAAGTCTAATTCAGACTTTGGCACCATTAGCAGGTATAGTTTCTAAAAATAGGGAAGGGATAATCCTACTGTACTCTACCCTCATTAGACCCTAACAGAAGTGTTTTGCCCAGTTCTGAGTGCCACAGTTTAAGAAGGATGTTGAGTGTCCAGAACTAGGATGTTGGGAGACCTTGAACCCATGGCAGGCGGGGGGGGGAGGATGATCATTTGAAGGAATTGGAAATAGAAGACATTTTGGGAACATGATAGCAGAGAATATACAGGAAGGCAAGGTGATAGATATTGTCAAATGCTGCAGAGAGGTCCAGGAAGGATAAAGATCGAGAAAAAGATCATTAGATTTGGAAATTAAGAGATCATTGGTAACTTTGGAGGAGGGTAATTTCAGTTAAGTAATGAGATCAGAAGCAAGATCAAAGAGGGTTTAGAAGAGAGTGAGAGAAGAGGAAATAGAAGCATTAAATGCATATGGCTTTCTCAAGGAGTTTAGCACCAAAAAGGAACAAAGATGGGCGTACAGCTACTGAGGATGGAGTGGATCAAATGAAGATTTTTTTTAAGGATGAGGAGACATTGACATGTTTGTAAGCGTCAGAGAAAGGGATAGTATGTAGAAACAGTCTGAGGATAAGAAAGAATAGATGATAATGGGGACAATTTGCTGGAGAAGTTAGGAAGGCATGGGATAAAACATTTATGTAAAAGGGGTGGCTCCTGCAAGGAGAGGGGCCAGCTCTTCGTTCAAGACTGAAAGTA